TCTGCTTCTCCATTACCTTTGACCTCCCTGTCTGTGCTTTCTATCTCTAGATTCCTTGTAAAGCTGAGTGAAACAGAAAAGCTATGAAGCTGGGAATGTTTTTCAATCCCTAAGGACCTCGTAACTATCTATCTAAAGATAACAGTGACCATCCCTGCTCAGCATGAATTATACTGGTGTAATAATCTTCCTGGTCAGGGTAACATTAAACCAAACACTCAGGCTTGAAAATGAGAGACTAATTCTTTTTTTTTTTTTTTTTTTTTTATTTAAAGTCTCACTCTGTCACCCAGGGTGGAGTGCAGTGGCACGCTCATGGCCACTGCAGCCTCAACCTGCTGGGCTCAGATGATCCTTCTGCCTCAACCTTCCAAGTAGCTGGAACTACAGGCGTGTGCCACCATGCCCAGCTATTTTTTTTTTTTTTTAATTGTAGAGGCGAGGTCTCACCAAGTTGCCCAGGCTGGTCTCAAACCCCTGGACTCAGGCAGTCCTCCCACCTTGGCCTCCCAAAGTGCTGGGATTACAGGCTTGAGCCACCACGCCCAGCCTGAGAGACTAATTCTTTTTTTTTTTCTTTTTGAGTTGGAGTCTCACTCAGTCGCCCAGACTGGAGTGCAGTGGCTGCTCCCAGCCACCGCAGCCTCGACCTGCTGGGCTCCGACGATCCTTCCCTGCTCAGCCTTCCAAGTAGCTGGAACTACAAGCGTGCGCTACCACACCTGGCTAATTTTTTTGATTTGTTGTATAGAAGAGTCTCACCAAGTTACCCAGGCGGGTCTCGAACCCGCGGGCTCTGGCAATTCACTCACCTCGACCTCCCAAAGCGCGGGATTACAGGCTGAGCCACTGAGCCCGGCGAGAGACTAATTCTTAACAACCCCTTTAAACCCAAAGCCCCAACTAATACTACATACTATTGCAATTCCTACACCCCAGGGTGATCCTTTACTCCCTGGGCCCTTACTAGGCGTCCACCGAGATTCAGATGATTTCTGCCATGACCAACATCCAAATTTAGCAGCATTCCAGGAAATATGGGTAATGTTATATTCCACCTTCCCACCTATGAACTGGGTCCAACCTGGCTCCCCAAAGAACCCCTGGCATTTCAAAGTTAGCACTTATGCTAGCCATGGGAATGCAATATTAATTACCTCTGTGCATGCTAAGGTAACAAACCTCTGTACTCCAGCAAACCAATTTACACTCAGAATCAATGGCACCGGCACCCTAGGAGTATATTCCTTCCAAAATTTCAATCAAACTGTTCACTTCCTCAATGACACTATCATTCTTGTCAACTACAGTGGTGAGCTCATAGCAAACAGCTGGCTTCCCTGTGCGGGAGCAGGGTTGCTAGGAGGATTATTACACCTGGGACTTAAAATTAAACACCACCACAGAACCTGCAGAGATATTACTACTAACCGTGGAGACATCCAACCCTGGTCACAGGACTTTGCGAGAGCCATTGTAGGAACTGCATGGATCCCTACAGTGGTCCTCAGCAGTAGTTGCCATTTATGATTATATTTTTCCCGATTTGGAGACCCTGATATGTTGTGACCATTATATAGCTTAATAGACCTCTCGAGCATTAGACCTACTTAATCAGGAAGAGGGAGAAATCAAGCAATGTGCAATGGCCAATCACATGGCATTAAATTTTTTTTTTTTTTTTTTTGAGTTGGAGTCTCACTTTGTCACCCAGACTGGAGTGTAGTGGCCGCTTCCGGCCACTGCAACTCTACCTGCTGGGCTCCGGTGATCCTTCTGCCTCAGCCTTCCAAGTAGCTGGAACTACAGGCGCACGCTACCACGCCCGGCTAATTTTTTGATTTATTGTAGAGATGAGGTCTCGCCAAGTTGCCCAGGCGGGTCTCGAACCTGCGGGCTCAGGCAATCTACTCACCTCAGCCTCCCAAAGGCACGGGATTACAGGCTGAGCCACTGAGCCCGGCTGGCATTAAATTTTTTGTTAGCAACAGCAGGAGGCCTCTGCACTGTGGTAGGCAGTATCTGTTGCACTACAATTGAAGACTTACAAGCCAACATTTCTAGTTATGTGAATCAGCTGGAAAATATAGCTGAACACACATTTGCTTTAAAGGGGCCCTTTTTTTTTTTTGAGTTGGAGTCTCACTCTGTCGCCCAGACTGGAGTGCAGTGGC